ACTGGCCACAGACCATTGCTGAGAGAAGTCAGGGCAAGAACTCAAGCTGGAACTTGAAGCAGAAACCATGGAGGAATGCTGCTGTTCACTCCCTGGCTCATGCTTAGCCAGCTTTCTTTAATATACTCCAGGACCACCGGCCCAGGGAATGGCACTGCCTACAGTGGACTGGCACCTCCTATATCAATTAACAGTCAAGATCATCCCCCAGAGACATAATCAAGGGCCAATTCAATCTAGACAATTCTGAGATGACTCTAGGCTGTGTCAAGTTGACAATTAAAGCTAACAGTTATGTAACATTTCCAATGTACTAGGGGTTATTATTCAGGGGTTATTTAAAGCACAGGGGAGAATGCACACAGGTTATATGCAAATGCACCCCACTTTGTATAAGAGGCTTATGTGCCTGTACATGCATTGGGAATTTTACACAGCTGCTGTGAGAAAGTGTGCTGTTCTTCTAGAAAAAGTACTGTTCACAGCTGTCTCTCTGGTTAGACAGTTTAGCTTTTATTATGCTGGATAAGAAAGTCATACAATTTTGTGTGCATGATTTTGCACCACCAAGGCTGTCTATAAGAACCTCCTGCTCACTGTCCCCTCACCCGGCACGTCAGCTTTCTGACTCGGTGGATGACTTCTCCGCTGCTGTCCACAACTTCCAGGCTCCCACTTTCACTGGAGTTCTCTGAAGAGTCGTCTTCCACCATACGTTCTGGGACAGCTCCTGTAACGCGCATCACCTCCACATGGAGACGCCCGGCAACCTGGGTCAAGGAACCAGAACATCTGAGTTCAAAGGCATCAGATGAGCAACACTAGGCAAGACAGAAGTTCATTTTACCCCAGGCTGTCCTGCAGTTCCGGGTGACCATCACCAGCAGTGTGGGACCCGCCCTCCCAAGCCTTCTCCAGGAAGAAAACCCACCCTCCCAGGGCCAGCCTTTTCCACGCTTGTCCCTGCAACTGTCCTTCCTTATTTTTTTTTCATTAAAAAAAAAAATTGTTATTTTTATTTTATGTGACCGTGTCATGCAATGCCATGGAGGTCAGAACAGGGCTTCAGGATTCCCCTGGAACTGGAGTTAAGGATGGTTTGTAGCTACCATGTGGGTGCTGGGAATCGAACCCAGGTCCTCTGTAAGAGCAGTCACTGCTCTTAACTGCTGAACCATCTCTCCAGCCCCCTTTCTTCCTTATTCTGAGCCCAAAGTTGAGCCCCCTTGTAACTTGCTTTCTGGAACGTTCCTTAGGCATGTCTGTCTTCCTCAACTCAGCCCATGGACTGCTTCAAGCCCACACTTTTTTTTTTTCATATTCTGCCTGGAACTTTCTATTTCTCATGTTGTGCATATGTGCATTTAGTCACATGCTTTGGTAACCTATCCATCTGACCAGAAATCTAACCTCATGGGACTCCAAGACAAAGAATGAGCTTTGCTGTCAGTTAACTCAAGAATGTGAAGAAAGACAGCGAGAAATTGGAACCCAGTAACAACAGGATGAACCAGACATACAGGTATCAGATGTGTGTAGGATAAATTTATCTACTCAGTAAGTATTTACTGAGGATTGGTGGTGGAGGAACTGGGCTAAGCATTGTGCCTACGACAGCACCCAAGCAAGTCCCTGGCTCATGGAGTAACGGACGGTATGTAACTTGGATTGGGGCTGGGAGCTGGGTGAAGATAGGCTCTGTGTGGTAGTGATATCACCCTATTCCAAGAAGAACCATGTGAACAAAGCCACATAGATATGGAAAGACATTTATTTGTTTTTTTCTAGGTTCTTTAAAGTCATATTTTATTTTTTATTTCTATGTATGTGTGGTGTTGTTAATATGTTTTAAGACCATGTTCTGATACTAAGGCCAGAGGGGGAAAACAGAAAGCAGACCATGATCATCCACCCATTCCCCTGTTTCTTGACCTTCCTCTAGGCACACATTAACACAATGTCAAGCATCCACCATTTCCATAGAGGAAAGAGGGTCCTTACCTCCCCCTGCTGGCTGATGATGGGCACTGCATACTGAAGCTTCACATCACAAAACAGACATTCCAAGAACACATTGGCCACACCAATGAGGTTGTGATTCTCTTGAGCTTCATAAAAAGGGTCACCTCGCTTCCCATAGAGCCTCTTTGCCTGAGCAGTAGATGGGTCATTGGGTGAGAGGGCAGGAAACAAAGTATCAACTAAAATCACAGTATTTCAAACCATCACTAAACATATTTTTTTGGTTTGTGGGGGTTTTCTGTTGTTTTTTTTCTTTTTGGTCTTTTTGAGACAGGGTCTCCCTGCAGCCCCAGCTGGCCTGGAACTCACTATGGAGACCAGGCTGGACTTGAACTCACAGAGATCCGCCTGCCTCTGCCTCCCGAGTGCTGGGACAACAGGCCTGAGCCACCAGGCCCAGCCTGGTTTGTTTTTTCAATGTGTGTTTTTGACACAGTGTAGTCCTAGCTGGCCTGGAACTTGCTATGTAGGCCAGGCTGGCCTGTAACTCATGGAGATCCACCTGCCTCTGCCTTCAGAATGCCGGAATTAAAGGTGTATACCACCTCACAGCAAGAAGTAAAATTAGAACCCTGCCCACATAAAACAAAACCAGCTCATGAAGGGGGTGTGTTTGCTAGGGAACAGAGGCTGCTCATGTAGAGAACCCCTCGGCCTCTGATCATACTCCAGTCTTTGTCGTTTCATTCCTAGTGATCTGCCTTATATTCTTCCCCAAATTTTCCTATTGCTAAGGTCAAAAAGTTCTAATTCTTTTCATTATGTGCACTACAATTACAGTTGGCAATCGACCCAACCTTGACCACACCTAAGTGTGTGTGCAGGTGCAAACAAATATGACATCCACGCTGGGCTCTGGTCCAGCTGGTGTTTCACGACACTGACAGAGCAGCACAGACAATCTTCTTTCTGGTTCGGTTCACTTGGGATGTGGGGAGATTGAAGGACAATAAGAACCTGTTGGGCTCCCTCATTCTCCTCTGGCCTGGGTGAATCACGTGATCTTACCAAGTCTTGAACTCCTTTCAGGATCACGCTTTATTTTCCCAGTATGAATGTTCAAACCATCACTTCTTTCTCTGTCTCCTCTCTTTTCCTCCCCTCACCCGCACACTCTGATGGTTAAATCATGTATACCTTTTGATTTTATTTACTATTTTATTTATTTACTATTTTATTTTATGTGTATGAAAGTATGGCCTGCATGTATGTGTGTGCACTCATATCATGCAATGCCCGCAGAGTTCAGAAGACAGCATCAATTCCCCTGGAACTGGAGTTACAGACAGTTGTTAGCTGTCCTGTGGGTGTTGGGATATGAAGTCTGGTCCTCTGCTAGAGCAGTCAGTGCTCTTAGCCATCTCTCCAGCCCCCTACCTTTTTATTTTTATACAACCACATCTATGTCTTGCTTCTTTTACCTCAGGAATGTTTTCCTTCCATTCTTGATAAAGTTCTCTCATATCGATTAATTTATTCTCCAGCTTCTCGATGGTCCAAACCTGGGTGCTTTTCCCCTTTCTCCTCACTTGAATAGCTGGCTCGCTCACTATGGCCCCCCTCTGTATAGCAAAGAAAAACAAATGAAGTGGGCATGATTTGAACTCCTCTTCTGTTAGCTAAATGTTGTAAATAGTATAGGTTGTAAGCTTACAAAAGATGATATATCTCTACCACCTAGGAAATAGTCTAGATATTTTGTCTTCTATATACAGTCATGCACATGCTTTTTAATCCCATAATGACCAAATAAATACACACATTTATACCTCAATGGTCTCTCTAGCTTGAATTTTGTAATCATTAAATACTCTTCATAAACATGATTTTTAATAGTAACATAGTAATCCATCATACAGATTTTGACTGAGTCAAACCCACAGAGGTGTATACTGACCTCTGTGTTTACAGAGTCACCCCCTGAAGGTGTGTACTGATCAAAGGCTTACAGAGTCAACCTTCAGAAGTATATATTGACCGAAGGCTTTGAGTCAACCTACGTAGGTGTATACCGACCCAAGGGTTACAGAGTCAACTTGTAGCACCCATCAAGATCTCCTCACACCCAGCTCCAGTGGGACTATTCATGAAGCTCTGAAATAGGGCAGAGACACTGGACTCCCTAATGCCTGGGTTAATCGTGTCAGTTTGATGGGATCTAGAATCACCTAGGAGACAAATCCCTGGGCCTGTCTGTAAAGGGTTTTCTAAATTAGGTCAACTGAGGTGGGAAGACCCATACTAGGTATAGGTTAGCAGCACTTCTCCATAGGCTGAGGTCCTGGACTGAATTAAAAAGGAGAAAGCAAGCTGAGCACCAGCATACATCTCTCTCCTGACTGTGGATACAATGTGACCAGCCACCTCCTGTTCCTGCAACCACAACCTTCCTGGCATGAGGGACCATAACTCCTCCAAAACAAAATTTGCCCTTAAAAAAAAAGATCTCACAGAGGTGAGCTGCAGCTCTCACTAGCGTATCTTGCTTCCGTTCCCTAAGGACAGTCTTACCTTTCTGTTGGCACTGAGGTTGGCCGCTGGTATCTGCAGAGTCACTTGGTAGTCAGTGAGCTTCTTCATTTCCTCAGCTAGAAAGTTCGCTTCCCTCACCAGGGTGTTCGCTTTCACCAGCTGCTCTCGGAGCTTGGCCAGGCTTTGCCTAAAGAGTTCATCTCTGTGGTGTTGAAGAAAAGAAAATGCACACAGGTAAAGGAAGGGGCAATCCCACCTCTAGGTAAGAGAGCAGTGTTGTCAGATAATGGTAATAACAAATAAAACTAAACTAAACAAAAACATCTTCTTTCAGGGAGTTTTCCCTCCTAGTTACAGGGAGGCCACCTACTGGGAACCAGTGTTGGCTACCAAATAGAGGAATGATGCAAAAAGAGCAAAACAAAACACAAACCAAACAACACACCCCAGGCTTCTGCAGGGTGTGTAGTGCATGCCAGTAATCCCAGGACTTCACCCAGGTGGAAGCAGGAAGATCAGGAGTTCAAGGCCAGCCTTGGCTACACAGTAAGTTTAAGTTCAGCCTGGGCTACACAAGACCTATCTCAAAGCACAAAACAATACAAAACCACTAAATTTTAAATTACAGGACATTTTTTAAAAAATTACCGAATTTTGATATGAGGACTGAAAAATAAAAACACTTCAGAGCAAACACGTGTGTGTGGCAGGATGACTGTGGGAAGGGGCTGGCAGGCAAGGGGCTGGAGTGATTTCTTCCTTCCTCTAACCCCACCCCCCAAGCCTACACAATAGTTCATATTGAGATAAAGCTTCTCTGATGCCTGACTCAGTCCTGTCAGCTCCATGTTTATTTCCACAGCACTCGCCTAGTTACAACTTTTGATTCATTTGCCAATGCCTCATCGGACTAGGCTGTAAGCGCCCCTTGGGCAGAGCAGCGCAGGGCAGGGCAGGGCAGGGCAGGCGTCTTTTCTGTTTGCTTCCACACTTGGTTCCTGGCTGAGTGCCTGGCCCAGGGGAGGGTGTCTAAAATCCCCACTGCATGAGAGAAAAAGGGCTGGGTTTCACTTTGGATCTGGGTTCAAAGATACTTGAGCCTAAGACTGTGCCATGCTGTGCCACACACAGTTTCTCTTTTTACCTTATGTATGCCCCTGCCCCATCTTTACTTTAGAGGAAAAAGATGAGTTCACAGCATCCCAATCCCTGCTCCCTAGAAACCACCAGGAGATAGTTGTAAGGGCACACAAACAAAGATGATGGTTTTCCTGCAGGCACGGTTTCCATTCATCCAGGCTCAGACTCTTGCAGTCAGCTCAGTATTTCACTTCACAACACCCAAAGTTTTCCTGACTCTTCAAAACAGTTCCCCTCTCCCTTTCATCCCTTACCCTCCCCTTCTCGCTCCTTTTTTCCAGATCCCTTTGCTATAGAATACTCCTTATAAACTCCTGCCTTCTTCAGACCACTCCTGGGCTCAATCTAGCAGGTGAACCTCCTATGCTCCCAGAGAGTAAACACCCCAGCTGTCGGTCTCTCACACACACAATCTAATAGCTCTAGATTTAATTCTCTCTGCTCTACAAATCAACTTCCAGACTAAACAAAAGTTTGCTCATAAACTTTCGAGTGCATCTTATTTTCCCTCTACTGCTTTCTGTTTCTGCTAAGCTACTCATCTAAAATCCTGGGGAGGTGGAGGGGGAGTGGCTTAGGGGCAGTGGACATGCTTAGCATGAGCAAAGCTCTGGGTTCAACACCTAGCACCTCCCCCACAAACAAACAAACAAACAAACAGACAAAACCTGCCTATTCAAAAACCTTTTGTTGTTAAAATATCATTCAAACTTCTGCTAGTTCAAGGCCTACCAGTCTGTGCTGGATAGCTTTAGTGTCTTGATACACCTGGGTTGAGGGAGCCTCAGTTGGGGAATTGCCTTCATTGAACTGGCCTGTGGCCATGTCTGTGGGGCATCTTCTTGATTGTTGAGTGATGTGGGAGGGCCCAGCCCACTGTGGGTGGTGCCACCCCGGGCAGGTGGGCCTGTGTTGTATAAGAAAGCAGGATGAGCAGGGGCCGGGGAGCAAGCCAGTGAGCAGAGTTCTTCCATGGCCTGTGCTCCAGCTCCTGCCTGCAGGTTCCTGCCCTGAGTTCCTACCTTGGGCTCCCTGATGAACTGTGATCTGGGAGATGTAAGCTGAATAAACCCTTTCCTCCCCAAGTTGGTACTGGTCAGAGTGTTTTGTCACAGCAATTGAGAAACTAGGATACAGTTCAAGCCTTCTCATTTTGCATTATTCTTACTCAAGAGTCAAAGGACTAGGGTTTGGGGATGAGGGTCTCTAGTTGTGAACATTACTGTAGCATACTTAGGATGGGCACTATCTTTGTAAGGAAACATCTATTGGCCAGACTAGAAATGGGCCTGCAATCACCTTTGTGAGGTCTGTCCCCCTTTAACAGGCCTCTCCAGCTCCTCTCCCAAGTCCCTGGACCCCCATCCCTGACTCTGGGTCTGGGTCTATTCTCTTTTTTAATGTATATTTTTCATTGAATGAATTTTTGTGTATACACAACATACACATCTTAATCATCTTTATACCTCCTTCCCCAGCAGGTCCCCTTCCACAGCATCCCCCACTCATCCGATTTCATGCATTCTGTAAAACTTTATCAAGTCAAGTTAGTGTCTCCAGACGTCCCTCAAGGCAAGTTCATCCCCTGGGGTCTAGTCTGCCAATCTAGAGTCTCTCCCTTAAAGATCAGCTCTCCCTCACCCAGCAGTTATCAGCTGCCCAATCTGGGCCTGTTCTTACCTCTCCTCAGCCCACTGGGTGGCCTGGCTGCTGTAGGCCAGGCGGTCGGGGCTGCTGCTCTGCGGCTGTCTCTCCGGGGACAGCTGCTGGCGGAGCTGCTCCAGCTCACGCTCGTACATGAGCCGCTGCTCCTCCAGGGCGCTCCTCTTCTCTTCCAGGTACTGCTTCTCCAGGACCTGAACCACGTTCTGAACTGGGTCTGGCGAGCCAAGAGAACAGGGGAGGGTCATCAACAGCTGCTGCACACAGGCCTTCTCAAAGGTATGGTGGCCTGGCGGGGCTTTTCCCAGGAGGGGCTTTTCTCCTCCTCCTCACAGTCCGGCGGGACCGGGCCTGGGGGCTCACACATGAAATCCTCCGGGTGTTGTCCACTACCGCTTCGGCTAACTGCTTTAGATGGAAACCTTTACCCCTGCACTGCTACCTTCACATCCTCACGTTTACCCGCAACATAACGCTGCTGTCAGCATTTGGAGGGACAGAACCGGATGCAATCCTAACCCGGAGAGAAGACATGTTAGGAAACCCGAACAGCACAACGACAGGGACGTGCACGATTCCTACACCCATTCAACATGGTTTTGGTGAATGCCAAAGGGCTTCTGAGTTCTCAACCAAATTATACTATTCTTGAATTTCTCTAAAGGGGGAAAATTTTAGTAATCAGCATATGTATGAAAATAGACTAGGTGTATGTCTTGGTAATTTCTCAGGTGGTAATACCTAGGAGGGCAATTGACTTGCAAAAAGTAATACAAGTAAAAACAGGCCTTTAGCACCATATTGGGATAGATTTGGAACTCTGCACCTTCTGCACAGGGTGAGCAGTTACAGACAAACCCGTAGACAAAGCCATCAGCATTACGCATGGTGGCTGTGGCACTGGTGTGACCTGACTCTGAAGAGCCAGTTCGTTGAGCAGGGCATTAGTATGGTAAGGACCAATGAGTTGGATCCACAGGGTCAGATGCAGGCAAAGGCCACGTGAACAAAGTCACTACATCCTGGAGGAGTAGACTTCTTGGAAGCCAGATGGTGCAACAGGAGATGCCCCACCATGTGAGGATTTCCCAGAAGGCCATGGGGAGATGTAACTTTAGACTAGCAAGAGGTATCATTTCTTCCTCATCCGTTCACACAGTTGCTCTCAGTTTAATTTCTGAAGGTGGGAATGAAAGTGACTCAGACGAAATTTTTATATCACCTGATTATGGCTATAGACCGAGTCTTCCAAAATAACACACTGATTTACAAAATAAACATATAGACGGGACCTAACTTTCTATATTAACATGTAAGAGAACAAGAAAACATGTTAGTTTTAAAAGTAAAGTTAATAATACAAGGCAAAAAGGAGCAGTCTTATAAATCGCAAGATACGTTCAGTTGGAGTAAGTTGTTTTAATGAAAGTGACAGTCACAATGAAGGCAGCGACTCTATTGCCTGTCTCGCTGGTACGGGGACTAGACTCTGCGTGCACAACCTCGTGAGAACCTTGCAGCCCCTGCCCCCGTAGTGGACAGCATCAATTTTAAAGATGAGGAAATTGGGTCTCAGAAAAATTATATAGGTGGCCTATGGTCATACAACTAATCAATGACAGCACCACACTTTGAACTCAGATTGGAAACTGGCTAGCCAGCCGGGATAAGATGGTAACTTGATAAATAAGCTGAGGCAGTATTCTTATCCCTAAGGTTTTGCTTAGTATTAGTATGCTTGTCAAAGAGCAGATTCTTTAAAAACAAATAAGCAATGATACTGCTCTAAAATTTCGCTCATTGAGAAATTGTGTTACAGGGCTTTTGTGAAGCAGTAATAACTTTTTTACTTTTTTGTGCAGTACTACAGACTGAATCTAGGGCCTTGCTCATGCTGGGCAAGCGCCCTACCATTGAGTGACTCCCAGCTCTCAAATAATATATTTAATCTACGTTTCTGCTCTGTTCGCCACCACTGGAGAAACACGTGAGATCTCAAATGGCTGATGCAGGGGATCTCACCCCGGGGTCCTTGCCGATGTAAAGGCCTCGTGACTGACACCGCTTAAAACTGAACCTGCAGCTAAAGTGACAGGGTACAACTGCTGCCCACCAGCTTGGCTGGGGGCCACAGACCAGGGTGCAGATATATAGGAGAAAGCAACCCACAGATCCCACATCTGAGCCTCCCAAGGCATAGCCTCCCAACTGGGACTCCTGGGTCCCCTCCTGGGGCTTACCACCCTCAGCACTGGGGAGGTGGGGGCTGGACTTTCTTTTTTTCTTTAATGTGTATGCATGATTGCATGTGTGTAAGTGCACGCATGTCATGAAATGCCCGCCTGAGGTGGACAGAAGAGGGTGTCAGATCCCCATAACTGGAGTTACGGACAGTTGATAGCTACCATGTGGGTACTGGGATTTGAACCTGGGTCTTCTGCAAGAACAGTCAGTGTTCTTAACCACTGAGCCATCTTTCCAGCCCCTGGTTTATCTCTGTTCCTAACACCATTATGGGAACATCTCTCTCTTCTTTAAATTTTGTTTTCATTTTTTATAGAATGCATATTTGTATATGTGTATGTGTGTACAGGTGGGTTTATGTGTACATGTGTGAGAGAAAGATTAGGGTGTCATTCCTCAGTGTCATACATCTTTTTCTTTATTTATTTTTATTTTATGTGTACGTTATGCCTGCATGTGTGTAAGTGCACCTGTGTGGTGCAGTGCCTGTGGAGGACAGAAGAAGCCATCAGATCCCCTAGTACTGGAGTTACAGATGGTTGTTAGCCGCTATGTAGGTGCTGGGATTTGAACCCGGGTCTTCTGCAAGAACAGCCAGTGCTCCTAACTGCTGAGCCATCTCTCCAGCCCCACACCTTTTCCTTTTCAATCTTTTATTCTTTAAAAACATTTATTTTGTATGTATGGGTATGCACAATGCCATAACATTTTTCATGTACCTTTTTCTGCTGAGCCATCTTGCTGGCCCTCCCCACATCTGAAAACTATTTTTATTTGTTTTTATTTTATGTGCATGATTTTTTTTTTTTTTTGCCTACATGTATGTAAGTGCATCCATGCCATGTGCAATGCCTATAGAATCCAGAAGAGGGCATCTGAATCCCTGGAACTGGAGTTAAGAACAATTGTTAGCTGCCATGTGGGTGCTGGGAATGGAGCCCAGGTCCTCTGCAAGAGCAGCCAGTGCTCTTAACTGCTGAGCTGTTTCTCCAGCCCCCCTCCCCCATCTTTTTTTAAAAAGGGTTTCTCACTGGTCTGGGGCTCACAGATTAGGCTAGACTGGCTGCCTAGCAAGCCCCAGGGATTCTTCTTCTGCACCTTACCAGGGATTACAAGTGAGCGTCAGCACCCTTAGCTTTTTTATTAATGTGGGTGTTGGGGATTGAACTCAGGTCTTTACACTTGGAAGGCAAGTGTTTTATGACTGAGCCATCTCCCAAGCCTGGGAAAATCTTTCTCATAGACATCTTGACAACATTCCTTTTATGAATCAGTTTGATGTCTTTGACATCTTTGATGTTTTAAAACATCTCATCTTAATCAGAAGGTAATCTGGCTCTGACATGCCCAAGACACAAGCCAAATATCACCTGGCTTGTTCTCTAATGACACAACCAAAGGATAGGAGACCATCCAGCTGTATTTCGCCCCTCCCACTTTTCTGTTCTTTTCCCCCTCCAGTGCTGGGGCTGAAACCCGGTCCTCATGCATGCTAGGCAATCACTTTACCACTGAACTAAATCCCAGTCCACTTTCCCCCTTTTAAGTGAACTGCTTTAAAATGCAGTGAGTCTGGTGTCCAACGCCAAGTCAGCAGAGAGTGGTCTTTATGAAAGAGGGAAAGGACCACATTGTTTTGGGGATGTACCACTATCTCTTCTTAATTAGTTTATGCTTTCTCTGGTAGGCAAACATGAAAGAGAAGAGACTAACCCATCATCCCAAGCGGACAGGACAGTGGGGAGGGTATGGATATGAGAAAGAGCATCGGGAAGAATCCATACTGAGATGCTCGAAGCATTGACTTGAAGGGAAGTCCATTTTCCAGGAGATGTGAGGGAGAAGCGTCTAACTTTAGATGGAAGAAACTGACTCTGTGACCTTTGCCAGTTCCTGATTACAATATTTTAGAGCGAGCTACAGCAGAAATCAAGAGATAAGAGTTTAGTTTCTATTTTGAGGCCCTGGAAAAAAGGCATTGTTATTCATAGGGACTAGATTTTCTTTTACTTTATTATGTTTTTAATTTCTTTTATTATTTTATGTGTAAGAATGTATTGCCTGCATCTATGTACGCATACATATGCTGTGCAATGCCTGTGGAGGTCAGAAAAGGGCATGGGATCCCTTGGAACTGGAATTATGATGGTTGTTAGCTGCCCTGTGGGTGCTGGGATTCTAACCTGTGTGTTTTGCAAGAGCAGCCAGTGTTCTTAAGTGCTGAGCCACCTCTCCAGCCCTCTTTTACTTTATTTTTATTTTGCATGTAAGGGTGTGTGCATGTAGGGCCCCAAGATCAACAAAAGCATGTTCCCCGATTGCTGTACATATTGATGTAGGATCTCTCACTTGATGAGCGCACCAATTCGGCTAGTCTAGACTGACAGCTTGCTCCAGGGAGCACGGGTCTCCGCTGCTTGTGTGCGGGGACTACCAGCAGGCTGCCATGAAAACCCAATCTGTATGTGGGTTCTGTAGATCTGAACCTGGTCCTCTGATGAACCAGCTCCCCAGCCCTGAGATGAGGTAATGAAGCATCACTGCCCTGAATTTTTGTGCTCTGAGCAGGAATGAAGTCCTTAGTAACAGTCACAGTAACACCCGGGCAGGGCTGGGGAATGGCAGCTGAGAAGACAGTGGGGCTAGGACATTCTGGGGCTGTCATTGTTGGAAAGGAAACTGCTCAGTCAAGAGCAAGAACTCAAGCTTGTCTGTCAGCCAGAAAACCTTCACTTCATCCCAAGCCTTCCAGTTAGACTTCGCCAAAGCTCGCAGCCCTTGTGTCCCTCAGACCCCCCACCCCCCCGAAAGCTAGCCAGGCTCCTGCATGCTCAGGCGGCAGTTAGAACCTTTATCCCAGTGCTGATGGAGCAGCTTCGTCTGAAACCACAGGAGGGGGAAGAGGGTCTTCAGGTAGGACCACCACGGAGATGACCACCAGGCAGACAGGCTTATGATCGGGAAGCCACCTAGCAGGAGAGGGAGTCTGAGGACTCCAAGCCACAGGCTCTGCCACACTGCATCAAGGACCAGTGTGCACCTTGGAGGGATGCCACTCACCAGAGGAAAGAGGGAGGAGGGAAAGCTGTGTTCCCACAAAGACAAAACCAACACTGGAGAGAGTTGGGCCTGATTGGGAAGCAGGTGAAAAACCCTCAGTACCATAAGCCCGGCCCAACACTGATGGATTTGGTTAAGACAACTGGAGAAATTAACAATGCTGACCAAATACTTGCAGGTTCCTCTGGAGTTTCATTTATATGTGATATAAAGGCAGTAAGTAGTTACAAAATCAGAAACCCGTGATCTGGGATGGGTTAGTGATAAACTAATATGCACACATCATAGTGTGTGTGTGGAGGTCAGAGGGTAACTTGTGGGACTTGGTTCTCTCCTTCTACTGTATGAATATTGGGGATCAAACGCAGGTTGTCAAGCTTGGAGGCAGACACAGAGCCACCTCACTGGCATAATTCTATAGTTTTATATAAATATATTACTGGCATGGTGGCACACACCTTTAATACTGGCACTTGGGAGACAGAGGCAGGTGTGTCTCCGTAAGATTGAGGCCAGTCTGGTCTACATAGTGAGTTCCAGGCCAGCTGGGGCTATAAGGGACAATGTCCCATATATATACATTATAAACTGGGCGTGGTGGTACACACCTTTAATCCCAGCACTCAGGAGGCAGAGGCAGGTGGATCTCTGTGAGTTTGAGGCCAACCTGATCTATATAGTGAGTTCCAGGCCAGCTGGGGCAACAGGGAGACCCTGACTCAAAAAGTTAAAAAAAATGCAATAAAAGATAATTAGACATATACATTACAATATATGTATATATATTACTCTTTTTTTTTACAATCTGATCCGTATAGTATACAAAAGGACCAAAAATTCATAAAGAGAATAATGAATAGAAAGGTTCAAATCTTTAGAACATGCAACTCAAAAAGGCAGAGCTGTGGCTGACAGTTCTTTAGCTGTGCTCCAATTCCTTCCCAATAGGCCTATTCTCTAAATGTAACAAGTAGTCAGTGCTGAAGGGAAGAATGGTGCACTACACAAGGGGCTTTAAGTGTCTGAACAGGTAGGAGTTGCCTGTCCCTGGCTCCTGGTTAAGGATCTTTAGACACCCTGGGCACACACCAGGGGGAGAATGAGCTTGCACCAAGCTTGGCGATCTATTTTCTCAGCTGTACCTACAGAGAGCTCTACTTAGGTCAAGTTCTAGAAATGCTGTCCTGTGCTTGGTAACAAGCAAACTTCCCTGTCAGGGTTCTGGGTCCCAGGCACCAAGAATGGAGAATTGGGAGACAGGAAAGGCAGATTAATGGAAGGGCAGCAAAGAAAGAATCCATGTGTATTTTGCTGACTATGTGCAGGAGTATTTAAGCTCAAAGGGAGAAGGGAAGCTAAGGTATAAGGAGTTTGAGGCAGAGAAAGAAGTAAAAAAAATTTTTTTGAGACCGGGTCTTACTATATGGCCCTAACTGGCCTCAAACTCACAGAGATCCACCTGCCTTTGCCTCTTGAGTGCTGGAGTTAAACACATGGTCCACCACACCCAGCTTTTTGGTCTTATGTGTTATGTGTCTGAGTTTGTATCTATGTCACATGCATATGGGTACCTGTGGAGGCCAGAAGAGGGCACTGGATCCCCTGGAACTGGAGTTACTGGCAGTTGTGAGTCTCCTAACTTGTATGTTGGGAACCAGACTCAGGCTCTCTGGAAGATCAGCAACAGCTCTTAACTGCTGAGCTATCTCTCCAGCCCCTTAATATAAACATTGAAAATCTTCCCTAAAGAGGGACCCAATAGTAGTGCTTTAAGGAGAATCTCTTCTTCAGAGATCTGAGACAGGCTGGGGTACAGGAGAAGCAAAGAATCTACACCACCTCACTTTTACCCTCATTTTTATCAAAGGAATTTGACCTTATTTGTTCCATGTCTCTTTGGAGGTGTAATTTCCAATGGAGTTTACAGCAACATATGTCTTTTATATTTCTGTAAGGTTCTATTCAGATTCCTGGAGCCATATTTTCTTGGGAATTTTCACATTGTCTCAAAAATGACAAGCCCAACAGTGGGAAATCTGATAAAAAGGGTCAAATCTGTCAAAAACATTAAGTTCTAGGATTACAGCTACCGCAACTGGCTTGGAAACAAAAGGTCTCAAAGACGGGACCATCTACATACTTCCTGGTTCTAGCTGAGGGAGAAGACCAGCCCAGAAATCTTGTCACTGCTCCTCGTAAGGAATCATTAACTTTATGTGTCTCCCTTTTAGAAAGACACTATCATATCCATACTTAACCTGGGTCAAATGGCATGAGGTGCAGAGCTGCTGAAGCGGCTGGAGCCGGGACTTGGGGTCTTACCATTGCTGTTCAGCGTTTTCATTATGACTTCCATCTGCGCAAACTCATAGTTGTAGTCTGGTTCTGAGGAAGCCTCGCTCGCTGCATCCAGGTCGTGCTCCGAGGGACTTGTTTCTTTCTCAAAGTCTTTCAACCAGTCTCGCCGTTTCCTCTTAGGTAAATTAATTCTGTGAGAGTTTTCACCATTAGATAAAATCAACCTGATTTACACTTAAATAGATATTAGAAAAAATACACCTAAAAGTATTGGAGAACACAAAGTGGTTACCTAAAAAAGTGGTTATTTCCCCATAAGATTCTGTCACCGTGCCATAGCTGGGTGGTACTGCAGACAAGGGTGCCATTTACACAGGACCTGAAGAGACACAAAGGAACAGGGCAGGTAAAAGGAAGTCAGCAGCCCCAGGACTCAGAGGTGACATCTCCTAATAGATGTATTCCAACTGACATCTGAAGAAGGAATGATAGGATTTGGAGCTACCAGCAAAGTTGGAGAGATGGCTCAGCAGTTAAGAGCACTGGCTGCTCTTACAGGGGACCCAGGTTTAGTTCCCAGCACCCACAAGGCAGCTCACAATGTCTGTAACTTCAGCTCCAGGAGCTCCAACACCCTCTTCTGGGCCCTGTGTGCAGTGTGCACATGTGGTACACTTACATATGCATAGACAAAACACTTATAAAATAAAAATAAATAAAATGTAACAACAAAAAAACCATGAAGTCTAAACAATGATGGTCAGGATCTGCCAACATCCTTCAGAGAGTCAATGTCTGACAGGGTGTACTTCTGATGGAGATGGAAAACGTCACTGATGGGATAGTTTGTCAACATTTATAAATAACAGGGGCTAGGGAGCTGCTCAATGGGTAAAGCACTTGCTCTGCAAGGGTAAGGACCCGAGTCTAGATCTTCAGAACCCATGTAAAACGGGGTCCCGTAGCACACATCTGTAAACCCAGTACTCCTACAGTGAGAAGGGAGGTTGAATGGGGGCCAGACAGCCTGGTGAACACAGCAGTGAACAAGAAACTCTGTCTCACGCACGGTGGATGGTGAGGACTGACACCCAAGGTTTTTCTCTGACTGCCACACAATGCGAACACATACACAAAGATAAAAAAACTGCAAAAACAGGACCATATGTATTCAAGTAACAACTCATTTAAAAAAAGTTTTGGGGCTGGAGAGATGGCTCGGCAGTTAAGAACACCAGCTGTTCTTGCAGAAGACCCAGGTTCGAATCCCAGCACCCACATGGCAGCTAACAACTGTAACGCCAGTTCCAGGGGATCCGACAGCCTCTTCTGTCCTCCACAGGCATTGCATGACATGGGTGCACTTATCTACATGCAGGCAATACACGCATACACATAAAAAATAATAAAAATATTAAAAAGTTTTGCTGGTGATTTAGAAACAAAATAAGGGGGTAGGAGGGTAGAAAAATAAAAGTAAATTTGCTCAAGGATTATCAGGTAATGTCTGATGGAGAAACATAATGGGCAATTGGGAGTTTTAATTTTCCAGTAAGTTACTTTCCCCTTATAATCTCTCATTATCTGAGTCCTGGTCTCTGCAGGATTCTAAAACTCGGAGTTACGAGGTAAGGGACATGTAATTCATATATGGAAATAATCACTCTTCATAGTAAGATTTCTACTCTGTGGTCTACGGTTTTACCTGTAACAAGAGAGCTAATGCCCCTTCAATTACTACACTGTTATATTTGGAGTATGAAACGCATTTGAACATTTTGTCCCCAGCAGGTAGAACTGTATTGGAAGCTTGTGGAACCTTTGGGAGGAAGAATCTTGAGGAGGAAGCAGGTCACTGGGGGTGATCTTAAAGGATACAGTGGTCTGTCTGGCTATAGCTCTCTGTCCTTTTCTGCTTCCTACCTGCAGATGTCATGCTGCCAACTGCTTTATGCTCCCATGGCCTGGGCTGTGAGCCACACCTATCATCATGACTTCCTAGTTGTGTGGACTGCGTCCTCTCAAACTGTGAGCTAGAATAACAACTCTCTCCTCTCTGAAGCTGCTAATTGTCAGGTATTTAGTTAACGCAATGTGAAAGGTACCTAACACACACTCTCATCTGTAAGCAGAAAGCAAATCCTCCTGGGCACCCAATGTATCCTTTACTTTGGGATAAGTGAAGCAAGCAAGCAAGCAAGCAGTCAGCTATCTTCTTCCCACGGCAAGGCAGCGACTGCTGAGGAAGTGGATGCCTCTTACCTAGCGTTTTCTTTTGGAGTAAGGGTGATGTCTCCGTCAGCTGCGATATCGATCTCACAGTGCTCAGGTTGAATCCCTATTCCAAAGAGCTGGATATCCTGAGACGTATCTGCACCCACCCGGGTGTGATCCTAGGATACAGAGTTGAAGAAAGGAAAACGTGTTCACAAATCACTCAACCCAAAATGATCACAAGCAACTGGAATAAACCAGTGCATACATAGGATTGTATGAAATGAATCACACAGGAGTGCTGGAGTATCAGTAGCCAAATGTGGGCCAGTGAGATGGCTCAGCAGGTAAAGGTGCTTGCCACCAGGCCTAACAACCTAGGCTTAATACTCGGGACCCACATGGTAGAAGGAGAGAATGGACTCTACAAAGTTGTTTTTTGACCTCCATGTACATGCATACACAGACATGCAGAGATAAATGCAATAATAAAGGAGGCAAAAAAACTTGCCCTTAACACAATTAAAAAATTAAACATGGGGCTGGAGAGATGGCTCAGCGGTTAAGAGCACTGACTGCTCTTGCAGAGGACCTAGGTTTGATTCCCAGCACCCACATGGCGGTTACGAACCATCCTTAACTCCAGTTCCAGGGGAATCTGAAGCCCTCTTCTGACCTCCGTGGCATTGCACAACACGGGTGCACTCACATACGTACAGGCAATACACTCATACACATAAAATAAAAAAAATTAAACACTGCAAAAATAATGCCCACCTCCAGATCCAAAGTGACTAGCTGTTATTTAAAAAAAATAAGGAATGTGGACTTGGCAGTAGCAGACAGTGTTTTTCAACGCTGGCTTGAATACTATTTAAGTGACTACCAGCATGCCACTTTCTCTGTCTCTCTCACACATTTTGACAAAACCAGTACAATATTATTTAACCTATTTGATGGGAATTCTATTAAAAAATGGCTAAATTTAGGAACAGTTTCCACAAAAAAAGCAGTTTTGTGGAAAGTTCTATCTCAGCCTCTTCCCCCACCCCTCAGGATTAAACTCAAGGCCTCACACATGCGAAATTACTGAACTACGTTATTATAGGCAACGTTCCCATGGGCTCACTGGCCAGCCAGTCTAACCAATCAGTAGGCTCCAGGTTCAGCGAGGAACTCTGTCTCAAAAAATAAGGTGGAGAGTGAGAAGGGGAGATACTTAATGCTAACCTCTGGACTCCACATGCATACCTTGCATGCTCACTGGGGACACAGAGGAACACCTCTCTCTCTCTCTCTCTCTCTCTCTCTCACACACACACACACACACACACACACACACATTCATATTAGTGTTTCCAATATTAGTATTCTGCAGAGTGGTGAAGGCATTGGGTTGTACAATACACAGACTCCCATGGTTCTAAGTATCTTGAGCCTTAATCATGTGAGGCTCACTGACTCAGTCTGTTTGGCCCCTGTGCATGCATAGAGCAATTACTTTGATAGTGTTCTACAACTGATTTAATGACTGTGATATGACCTTTCTATGTAACAGAGAAAATGTAAAACTTGATCTTCTAAAATTAAGATGTCTGGGGCCTGGCTCAGTGGTTAAAAGTGCATACTGCTCTTGGAGAGGACCCGAGTTCAATCCTCAGCAGCCACATCAAATAGCTCACGGCCACCTGTCACTCCAGCTCTAGGGGATCTGATGCCTCTAGCTTCCATGGGTGCCTGTATGCATGTGCACATACCCCTCAAGTATACAATTAAAATAGTGAAAATAAATAAGCCCTGGGTTTAATAGCCACTACCACAAAAAAGGGAAAGATTTCAGAAGCAATTTCTTTTCCCTAAATGAACAGATCTTAAGTTGGTTCATGGACTCGCAGGAAGTTAATCAAGAGCACCATAATTCCATCCCTGGAAAAAGTGGGAGAAAACGGATCTTAGAAGACTGAGGCTCTCTGCTTCAGTTCTACTTAATTCTCCATTGTATTTTATATTCCCAGGGAATCAAATTCTATAACAAGGTGTTTATCTAGCTTTCTGTGGTGGGAATCCCTGTGCACTGACAAGTTTGTCTACTGTACAGTACATGTGAGCTGCCTTAGTAAAGACCCAGGTCCCCAGTCTTCGACAGTTATTTCAGTACTATACTATAGTACCATAACATACACAAGCTCTCTCTTCCTCCCCCTAAATATGCTTTGATGGCCAACTGAATGCCCTATGTCGGTTGGGGTGCCCTGTACTAATGCAATCAGTGCCCTATTTCAGATGTCTCCTTCCCTTCTTCCTTCTCTTCCTCCCTCCATTCTGAGGCAGGGTATCAATAGCCCAGGTTGGCCTTGAACTTGCTATGTGGTGACGCATGACCCTAAACCCCTGCCCCTCCTGCCCTATACCCCCTGTTGTACATGTGCTGCTGAAGCGAGCATGCCTACCCTTCCCTAAATGCTGAGATTCCAGGCATGCACCACCACACCCGGCTCAGGCGTACCACTTCTTACTGAATACAACTAGCCAGCAGTTCTGAAAGTATAGTCAGAAGGCCCCTCACGTCTCTGATCACCTTTCAGGAGGCCCATGAGATCAAAACGACTTTAAGAAAAATACTAAAATGTTTGCTCCTGTTTTCTCATTTTCTCATTGATGCATGGTGGAGTTTTTGGAGAGTACCTGATCTGTCTGTGATGATGTAGCTTTGAAGATTAACAGCTGTATGCTTGCTCATATTAGTATTTTAAAATGCCCTCAGTCTTAATGACTAATGACATACCAGACAGAGAGCTATATCCTAGGCACACAAAAGTTCTCTGGAGTCCTTGATACTTCTTAAGAATGTAAATGGGATCTAAGCTGGGAAGTGGGAGAGCCATTGTAGTGACCTCCACAGCACGGTCAGTGCACAACACAGACCATTGTGCCAACGCTGAGGTTATACCTCAAGGGCGATCACAGGAGGAACATCCTTGGCTGGGGATGTGGATATAGCAAAAGCAGGCCTCAGCTTTGCTCTGGAACCTAGCCAAGGTCTCTAGGCCTCTGTGGGTCTTGAGATCTTAGAATTAAACTGAGAACCTCCAGCGCTTGTCAGGATCACTGCAGCTGGGCCCAGGTGACTGAGAACCCTTGTCACATTGGGGCCTTCTCCCAGTGCACTTTCAGTTGCCCATCTGTGCGCTTTTCCAGCCTTCACTCAAAGTACTCAGCAACAACTACCCAGGCGCAGGAGAAACAAGAGTCATTTCTCACTGCTGGTGGTGAGGTGACTACTCCATCCATGGCCTGTCTTCTCTGAGGGCTAAGCTGGATGCAAAAAGCAAAATCATGGCACCAGGCATCTGTATTCACATGGAACAGCACAAGGGTGATTCAGGATTGCAGCTACTTATTTAGTAATACACTCTCTCACCTTTAAATAGTAAACCAGAAGTTCATTGAGAGCAGGGTCTGCATTCAGGTTGACAAGGTAGCACTTGTCATCGCCCACCTTGATCCCGGAAGTCTCCAGGGAGATCCCCATACTCTCCAGCTGTCGCTGTCTCTCCTGGTCAAGGAAACAAAGAGCAGGGAACTTTATTTGTTGCTCTAGTTGCAGGACGTATCCATGGAAAGAGTAAGTCACTGATTCTGGGGACAATGCCAAATAAATGACACATTCTACTCAGCACAATTAAGTTCACCAAGAGCCTGAAGCTCATGACATTAAAGCGTCACAGGGCACTGAGGGTGGATCAGACACAAGAAATGTCAGCCTTCAAGAAACAAAGTCTAGGAGAGGGAACAAGATGGCATAACTAGAATTCCGAAGAGGACAGCACCGTGCCACAGAAGGCTACAAAGAGGTGCGTGGCTTCCAAGAAGGGGTCCTGATGGCTGAAGAGAACACAGCAGGCTATAGGGTGAGAATATATTTGAGACAATTTTTAGAGCATTAGACAAATTTCAACAGGGAGAAGCAAGATAAAGACAGGTGTTCTAGCAATGGTCATGGGGAAACGGGAAAGCATAAACTCTGGGCAGTGGATGATTCCAAGGGCCAAGATCCCCTAGCAAATGGGGAAAACAGTTATACATAGGTCTGAAAAAGCAGACTGGGACCCTGTAATAAAAGGTTTTGAATCATCCATCCATCGAGCGACCTGCCCATTCAAGATCTTCACAATAGAGTCTACAACGTGGCAAGCACTGATCTAGGGTGTAATACAGTGCCAGATAAAACAAAGTCCCTCCTTTTTTTTTTGTCTTTTGGAGACAGGATCTCTCACTGTATTCCCAGCTGACCTGGAACTCACTATGTAGACCAAGCAGGCCTTGAACTCACAGAGATCCCCCTGCCTCTGCCTTCTGAGTGCTGGGATTAAAGGCGTGCACCACCACGCCCGGCACAAAGTCCCTCTTTTCATGAGAATATGCATTCTCATAAAAGGAAACAAGTGACAACTAGACAAGTGCTATGGAGAAACTTAGGGGGGAGAGAAAGGGGGGCAAGGGAGACTCAGAGAGAGACAGAAAGACAGAGAGGAGAATGTCATCAATAAGAAACAGAAGAGGCTGGACTGGGTCCCAGCAACTGCATTGCAGCTACTTAATTGGAATGGCTGAATGTTTCCAGGTGGTCAGTCAAATTAAAACTCTCATGGAAGGCACCGTGTAGAGAGAGTCACTCTCACACTCCTGCAGAATTCCTCCTGGAAGTACTCTTCATTGTAATGAAAGCCCACATGACATTTCCCAATACGCACAAATAGTCAGTCAAACACACTGAAAAAACTACTGCGCTGAATGTTTTAAAACCAATCAGAGTGCTCAGTGCCATGCTTTGCTCGGTGATCTTAAAAAAAAAAAAAAAAAACAAAGAAAATCACATCATGGACTTTTGTTGAACTGGGAGGGATGGGAAAAAGGAAAGCTGTCCCCTGCATCCTTGCCTATTAAATGTCGCCCTCTAGCTGCATGTGATCAACCTGCAGATTTGTGAAAGATGAAGTGTTTATTTATTTTTTAATTTTAACTTTGTTTAGTTTTTGGTTTTTTTTGAGACAGGGTCTTCCTGAAGCCCAGATGGCCTGGAACTCGCTATGTAGACCAGGCTGGCCTTGAACTCACAGAGATCGCCTGCCTCTGCCTCCCAAGCTCTGGGATTAAAGGCATGCACCACTATGCCTGGCTGAAGTTGGTGTTTAAAAATGAGCTCAGCAGAAAGAAAGAGACCCTGAAGGGCTTTTAAGGATGGAGGAAGTCCACAGTGTTCAAGGGCTGGCTGATCAGCTGACCTGTGCGATCTCTTCTGTTTTCCTCAGTTTCTCTTCCCACGTCACCGTTAGCTCCTTAATCAGCTTTTCAGACTCCTCAAGCTTCTCCTTCAGCTCGGGGGCCTTCATGGCCTTTGAAATGAAGCCAGAGACATGACTTTCAAAAATTCCCCAGCATTATGCATTTTACACACACACACACACACACACACACACACACACACACACACACACAGTATTCTTTTTGTGTGTGTGGTACTGAGGTTGGAACATAAAGCCCTGTAATGCTATGTACTGCTATAAGCATGCTGTATCTAGCTCTAGCTGTAAGCTATACTCTCATCATCCGGTCGGTCTTCTCTAGCAAATACCAATAGTCTCTTGGACGCAATCAAGTCACACACTGTCAGAGTTGGCCTTAGATTTCTACTAATTAAAATATATGAAGGAGGATATGGCTGCTCGTGTTTCAAGGAGAAAAAAGGAAATACCACTGTCTGGAAGGAAAAAGTGATAAATCCTAACAGGTATCTCATCCATCATACTTAAATTTCACATTTAAAGATCTGAAAAAAATGCTGGTTTATCTTTGAAATGCCGAAGTTGGGAAAATAGGTTATTTAAGTGGATTTATGCTTCAGTAAGACACAGATAAACACATATTACCAATAAATACCCTCCAGCTGCATTAACCAATTAGGAACCTAGCCATCATCACCCATTCTTTATGACTTAACAAGGACACAGTACCCAATGTGTATGAAAACTTCAATGCCTTGCAGAAACAAGTCTACAAGTTCAGTCAAAATTAACACACTTTGTCCTTAGGATTTCACACTGGAAGTTCAAAGGCCAACTAAATGACTGAAGCAATCAGGTAGCAGCAGGAAAGACCTCATATCCCTTCTTGTCTGCAAGCTGCTAGGACAGAAGTCTCAGTGCTTGTGTTGTGCTGATGAGCCTGGAGTAGATGCCAGTAAACACTGACACGTGCGTCTCGGGGAGATGGCCTAGCCCTCTAGCACGCACACTCTTACTCAGCGGACACACAAGTCAAGGGATTTCAGAAACAGGGCACATCAGGCTGAAGTTACCTCGGCCTGTGAGAGCTGCTCTCTCAGTTTCTCTACTTCCTCCCGCAATTCTCGGATGACCTTGGCGTTGGGATCCTCATTCACCACAGCATGGTTCACAATTCTCTTGGCTCGATCTGCGTATCTCAGCGTGGACAGTGTCTCTTCATAGTTGTCTGCAGCTGGGCTGATGGTGGCTATCATAGAGGTCTGGCTGTTGCCCCCTAAATTGTCCTGCAAAGCATTTCCAACAGCACCTTGGGGAAGGCCATCCCATCACCGCACATGTGACAAAAGCAAGGGACATGCATGTGTGGCAATGCTCTCCGAAGAGAAAATGCTATGTGGAAATGTGTTAACACTGCACAGAATTTTATGAAGCAGGAGCACATGCATGGATGCACACACATGAAGCAGGAGCACATGCATGCATGCACACATATGAAGCAGGAGCACATGCATGCACGCACACATGAAGCAGGAACACATGCATGCATGTACACATGAAGCAGGAGCACATGCACACATGCATGCATATGGAGGTCAGAAGAGGACATCAGGTATCTTTCTTATCAGTCTCCATCTTATCCCTTTGAGGCAGAGTCTCTTCCTGACCAGCAGCTCACCATTTTGACTAGGCTGGCTGGTCAGCAAGGTCCCAGGATTCACCTGTCTCTGCCCCCCCCCGACACCTCCAGCGCTGGGGTTATAGACACACCCAGCCATGCCAAGCTTTTTATGGGTGCTGGGGATTTGAACTCAGGTCCTTCTGCTTGCACAGCAAGCACTGTTACCTACTAAGCCATCTCTGCAGCCCCTAGAAAATAGTGTTCACTGAGCATCAGGAGGAATTAGTTTTAGAGTGCTGTGTGCTTGGTTATCTTTGCTCCTGCCTTTCACAGCTGCCACACTAGAAACTACCGGTTTTAGACGGAAAGGTGTACTAGAGCAACAACTCACCTTCAGAAGCCAAGTAAGGACGGAATCTCGATAAGGCACAAATTTGTTTTTGCCTTTGCCAGCTGCCTGGTCGGCCAATGATGATATAACCAACCCCAAGGTTGTGAGTGATCTGCAAGAGGATGAAAAATTAGTTTTGTGGGAATGTTTATTTTCATAAAACAACAACCCTTCTGGAAACAAGCATAAAAGAAGCAGAGCGGCCAGGCCCCAAAGTCAACAGTTGGTTAATTCCCCAATAGTTTTCTAAGAACTAAGGAAAAAGAAAAACAAAAAGTAGCCCCATTAACATAAAATAACGAATTTAGAATTCCTATAACAATACTATGCTTAATGGCAGAACTTAAACATTTTAGAACCTGGAAACATCAAAATTGGCTGTAAATTTTTAGGTGAAACAAAGTTTTTTTTTTTTTTTGGTCTTTTTGAGACAGGGTCTCCCTGTAGCCCCAGCTGTCCTGGAACTCACTATGTAGACCAGGCTGGCCTTGAACTCACAGAGATCCATCTACCTACTCCTGCTGGGATTAAAGGCGTGCACCACCACCTCGGGCCGAAACAAAGATTTTTATGTTACAAGAATAAATTTATTTCTCATTGACAAAAATGTGTTGATTGTAATGGTTCTGATTTTGCTTAATAAAGATGTGCTTGAGCCCAGTTAGAATAATTTAAAATTTATGGGCTAAAACTGCAATTCCTTTTGTTCCAATATAAATTTCTCTAAATACACCACATACTGGGACACAAAACAAATCTCAACAAATACGGAAATTGAAATAATTGCATGTATTGTATGCAACAAAGCTTAAATCAATAGCAAGAGAGTCTTTAGTAATCACACAAACACATGCAGCTTGAGCAACACACTACTGACTGATGAATGTGTTGAAGAAGAAATCAAGAAAGAAATAAAAAGTCAGGTGTGGTGGCGCATGCCTTTAATTCGAGCACTTGAGAGGCAGAGGCAGATCTCTGTGAGATTGAGGCAGCCTGGTCTACAGAAAGAGTTCTAGGCCAGCTGGGGCTACAGAGAGACCCTGCTTCAAAAAGGCACTTTCTTGATTCTTGAGGATGTGGGAGGGGCCTGCCTGCTGCGGGGCGTTGCCACACCAGGCAGGTTGCTCTGTATTGTATAAGAAAGCAGGCTGAGCATGGGCCAGAAGAATAAGCCAGTCAGCAGCGTTCCTCCATGGCCTGTGTTTCAGCTCCTGCCTCCATGTTTCTGCCCTGAGTTCCTCTTGGGCTCTCTTATTGATGAACCCAGGAGATATAAGCCAAATAAACTCTTTCCTCCCTAAGCTGGTATTGGTCACAGTGTTTTGTCACAGCAATGGAGAAACAAACTAGAACACTCCCTTCCTCCTTCTTCCCTTCCCTCTTTCTTCCCCTCCTTCTCTTCCTTCCATTGGGTCTCATGTAGCTGAGGTTGGCCTCAAACTTGATATGTAGCCAAAGATGACCTTGAACTTCTGATTCTCCTGTCTCCACTTCCCAAGTGCTGGGGTTACAGGCATGTGACACCATGTCTAGTTTATGTGGTGTTAAGTCTTCATACAAGCAAGGCAAGTACTCTACCAATGGACTCACATCCTCAGCCCCCATTCTTAATTATAAAAAAGACACGCAAAAACATGTAGATTATGAAATGTGGGGAGAGGGTAGCACTATTTTGAAGGAAAGAAAATGGGTGTCTGTGGAAAGTGGGAATACAGGCCCCACGTCCTTTCATAACATTTCTCAGTGGCTAATACCAATGGTGAAGCTCAAGAATCATCCAACGAGTGTCAGCTGCTAGGGTGGAACAGTAAACACTAAGCCAACATTTCCCCAAATGGCTTCCCAGGTCAGTGAGATGGCTAAGTGGGTAAAGGCGTTTGTTGCCAAGTCTGACAACCTGAGTTCCACCCTACATGGTGGAAGGAAAGAACTGACTTTCATGAGTTGTCCTCTGACCTCCACACCCATACCATGGCATGTGCATACCCACCAACATAGACATATACACGCACAAACAAATAAATAAATGTATAAAAATAAATAAAAACAAAAATGGCTTCCACTGAATGCTTGTTCTGGGACCTCTTAACATCTGTCACAGGTCACCTAGAATCCTGTTGTGAAGTAAGACTGGGGGAATAATGAGCTGGAGTTATACAGTGTTGATTCCCACAGGGCTTCTCAGAACCTTCAGTGCTATGACTCTCCAGAGGAAGGCTTTATAACTAGCTTTCTCAAAATTATTGTGCAGCAACTCTTGTCTTCCCAGAGCTGTTTGAAGAGGGCTTCATAGACATCTCTGGGAATCACAGGGCCACCCTGTCATATTCCACCAAAGATGTGGTTACCATATCCCAAGGAGATTTCTGCCATCCTTTTGGGGTCCCTGGTGTATATCAAGGATTCTGGCCCCTCTCCATTGTCAGATGCTGTAATATTCAATTGTAAATGACCAGAACCTCTAGCCTTGAATGATGGGCAGAAGCAAGTTGCTTTCATTCTCTTGACACAAGTTCACATGTATGAGTCTTTCTGGAATAAGTGGAGTTCAATTTTGGAAATGCTAATTTATACTTTATTATTTTTAATATTATTTTAATTTTCATTCATTCATTCATCCATTCATTCATTTTGAGACAGGGTCTCCCTGAAACCACAGCTGGCCTGGAACTCGCTATGTAGACCAGGCTAGTCTTGATCTCACAGGGATCCACTTGCCTCTGCCTCCCAAGTGCTGGGATTAAAGACATGCACCACCTCACCCAGCTATTTTATTATTAATTATGTGCATATGTGCGTGTGTCTATGTATAGGTATGTGCACATGAGTGCAGGTGCCCATGAAGTCTAGAAGAGGGCATCCATCCCCTGGAGCTAGATTACAGGTGGTTGTGATCTATCCAACATGGGTGCTGGGAACCAAACTGGGATCCTCTACAAGAGCAGTATGTGCTTTTAACCCCTAAGCCATGTCTCCAGCCCTTTTATTTTAGCAGAACTAGGAACTGAATCCAGGGCCTTGCACATGGTCAACAAATACTCTATCACTGAGCTATATCTCAGTCATCTTTTTCTTTTGCGACAGGGCCTCATTAAGTTGCCCAGGCTAAACCTGAACTCGCTCTATAGCTCAGAGAGGCCTTGCACTGTGGTCCTCCTGTTCCAGTGGCTGGGATGATGGGCCTGGCTTACATTTTACCACAACAGCTGAAATGGAAATGAGGTTGGGAATCACAGTCTTGAAGTGGCCGCTGTTGAGAATGAAAGGTTGCCATGGTCGGTGCCTTGGGGGGTGCACCCTGAGAGCTGAGTGAGTTTGCAAAGAAACTGAGGCAGCCAGAGTCCAGGAGTGGGGAAATGGCTTCTCCATCCCACCTTCACTGGACAGGTGGAGGCGCAGTCTCGCATTCCAATGGACCCCACTGAGGGCCCGCAGGTGACCTACACCCCACAGCCTTGCACATTCCTGGGCAGTGCAGTCACATGGTGCCTTCACTCTTCACACGAAAGGAGTACCGTGTGCTCTAAAGCTCTTAAAAGCTTTGGGAGAGATGAAGCACCCAAATCCACACAGCATTAAGCAGAAATTGAAGTCTGTGAGAAGTTGCTGACAGGTCTGCTTAAGAGGATTATTAATGTTGAATGTAAAGAAGCCCAGCCCGGAGGCTGAGAGCGTGCAGAGGTAACACATCAGAGATTTTAGTTTTCGCATCCGGCTGGATGATCATAAGGCTTAGAAGGCCATTTGTGAAACTGTTAGCAGTTTCTACTTATTAATGCTATTAGCACACACTTAGCTTCCTGTGAGCTAGGCGCAGTGCTAAGCACTTTACAAAAAGCAACTAATTTAACTGTCATAGTAAGCACACTCAACTGGCAGTTTCCTTATTCACATTTTACAAATGGGGAAACTGAGGGACAGTGACATGGCTGATTTGTAGAACCAGGAACTGCTGGGTCTCCTCTGGGAAGCCCTCTCTGAGCTCTGCACCCCACCCCAGCTGCCACTCACCTCGTTCGAGTTCCTGCTCTCCCTGTTCCTATGACAATGGATGTGTCATGACATCCTTTCCCCTTCCTATCTTCTCATGTTGTGGATGCCCCTCACTCATCCCCAGGTTCTCCTAGTCGATGTTCATCACATGTTTTCTAACATGGATCCACAAAGTGCAAGTCCGTATCTCTCATCTGAAATCCTTGAGTTCACACGTGTCTTGAAATTCAGAGTATTTTAGAATTTGGAAGTTCATTAGGTATATGCACTATATAACTCCTAGAGGGAATGTTTGAGAGTTCCCTTTAACAGAACATGAAAACACCCACAAATGAGTCAATAAAAATGATCAAGGTAGACACAGCCTAGAAGAGTCAGGAGAGTGAAGGGATCTTGACTTTGCCTAGTCACTGTTCTATTAACTTCCAGAGCCAGAGGCTCCCTCAAAGGTGACCTGCTGTCACACATTAACATAGGTATCCAGGTTTAAATCAGCAAGGCTTTATAATCTTCGAGCCCTGGAGGTCAGGAGCCCAGGCTGCATATCACTGGGTTAAAGTCAAGGAGTCGGCAGGTCTTCACTTCTTAGAGGCACTCTAGGGAATGTCCATGTCCTGGTTTCCTCCAGGTTCTATAGGCAACCTTCACTCTAGACTCACAGCCCTTTCCTCCATCCCTAAGCACTCAGTTAAGTTGAGTCTTTTCCAGTATGGCTCTGTCTCAGGCTCACCTGCACCTCTCTGTAAAGAGCCTCTGACACACAGGCTCTGTCTGGATAATCTCTACATCTCAAAGACCTTGCCCTAATTACATCTGTCGAACTCCTTTACCTTGTAACATACACACAGGGTTGGAAAGCAGAGCATGGAGCTATTTGGTACTGTCTTACCTACCATCACCTAAATTCCTTTTGCACTCCCAGCATCTAATGCAGGGCTAGGTACACAGTAGCTGCGTGATTCATCCTTGATGGGCTTTCATTTATGTGACAACATTTCTAAACATCAGTGCACTTGTCTTTAAACTATCTGTTATGTTAACAGAGACAAAATGACCTGTTCTGAGCCCTATGCAAAACAATGCACAGGAAAGTTCTCTGAAGGTTAGAGAGAGCACTGAGCATATTTCAGTTCCCATTTCACAAAGTAGTAGTAAGGGACACACACTCCATTTGTCAAGGACTTGATGTACAGGTCTGGAAAGAGCAGGATGCTGAGAGAATTTCATAAGCTGTTATACAAAAGTTGCCTGAGGATCTAGACTACAACACAGCCTTGAGGCAGTCCAGTCCAGTTAGGATTGCTAACTGACTTAGTATCCAAATGTGAGGGGGCACCATTAATGTTTATGCTGGGACAAAAGAATCAGACTCTGTCAGGCAAACAGAATGTATTGTATGTACAGCCCAGTGTTGAAGCCGGGAACCTGATGCCTGCATGCGGTCAAACCCAAGACCCACATTTGAGTTCAGTGACCTGAGAAACTACTTAATGACTTTCTGCCTTGGTTTTCTCATCTGTCAGACAAGGATACAACAAGACCTATCTTATAATACTGATGAGAAGATCAGATGAAACACTACTTGTGGGACATTCATAGGTACTGGGGAAAACTCAGACAGACAGATAAAAAAAGTCAGTGTCATTTGTATCAAGGCCAGCCATACATGTGCACTCTAAATTCTCACAACTTCCTATGTGTTATCTCACAAGTCTGCCCAGCAGGGGAAGGGATGACATTATCTGCATCACAAATGAATCTCCAATCAAGGTGGTGATCTTTGCTTTGGTTCCTTTCCTTCACACTTTTCCATTTCTGTTTTCCCACCCCTTCCTGGGCTCCCGTGAAGCTTTCCCGTCCCCTTCCTGGGCTCCCGTGAAGCTTTCCCACCCCTTCCTGGGCTCCTGTGAAGCTTTCCCACCCCTTCCTGGGCTCCTGTGAAGGAGAGCTTCAGTGTAAGCCTGGACTTCTACAGTGCCTTGTCACAAAATATAGCCACATCCCTTGTTATGAGAGCAGGAGACAGGTGACTGGAAGACTCCCTCCCTAAAGGAACAGTCTTTCCCACTGTGTACTGTGACCATGGGACACATCATATGTTTTACATCACATTTTTCTAACTTTCATATGCTAAGACCATACTGTGCCAATAGCATGTTAAAATACATGGCACAAACATGCTCCTGAATGTATTTCCTCTTGTCACATTCTGTTCAAGACAAGACCCCAAGTAACAATGGATCCAAAGAAAAGACAACTAGCTGTAGAACTTGGAATAATGATAGCAATTATGCTGATTAGAAAAACAATACTGATGTAATTAGTATTTATTCAGTGCATACTGCATGCTAGGCATTGTTCTAAATACACTATGGCATTTAATCCTCAGCATTGCCAGGAAGCAGGCACAATTCCATCTCCACTCTACAGAGGAGGAAAATGAGGTAGTACGGTTAAGTCACCTGTCCACAACACATACATCTAGTAGTGGTGGACGCAGGACTAAACCTGGGCAGTCTGGTCTGTGAACATACTTTTGAATACAAATCATCCTCCCCCTCAAGTTGGAAGGCAAAGAGACTTCCTCCTGTACATTGGGAGCCATAGAGAACCTGCAAAGTGAGGCTTTCCCTTATGCTGGTATCTCCTTCTCGCCTGGGAAAATTCCAACTCATCCTCCACCACCCTTCTTTCCCTCGGCCTTTAGGGAACTGCTGCATATAATACGTCTGCATTCCAGGCAGGGAACCACTGTATACATGTGTGCACTCCAGGCAAACAGCTAGACTCCAGGGTGGCATTTATTCAGTAACAGTTAAGACTCTTCTTTATTATTGATAAATACATACTATTAGTCTTGTAAAAGGATTCAAAGCAGGTTTCCCTATTAAGATATAATGTGCCTTATAAAATTTTGACTTGAATTTTACCTGACTAGATTACAGATGCTCACTGGCTTACAATGGGGTTAGCTCCTGATAAAGCCATCCTAAGTTGGAAGCAGTATGAGGCAAAAATGCAGTTAATACACCTGCCCTACCAAACATCCAAGCTTAGCAACACAGCACACAGTAGAGGTCTGGATATGCGCCTCCAGTGAGCCAGCTGTGGTTTGTTGTCACCTGCGCAGCCTGGAGAAAAGAATCAGATCTCATGTCCCCTCAAAAGATCCAAATTCAGAAACCGAAGAACAGTTTCTGCTGAATGCTTTTGAATCTTCATGAAGTCAAAAAATCCCAAGTTGAACACTGTTATTCAAACACTTGGTTCCCAACTGGTGGTGCTGTTTCGGGAAGCTGTGGAACCTTTAGGAGGCAGAGTCTAGCTGGTGGAAGTGGGTTACTGGGGGTGGGGACTTGAGGTTTATGGCAGAGCCCTACTTCTGGACCTCTCTTTGCTTCCTGATCCATGTGGATGGCAGCCAGTTCTGGGAGCTACAGTCAGAGCTCATTCCTGTCAGCATGTCACGATGGACCATATCCCTTTTAACCATGAGCCAAAATACAATCTTTCCTCAAGGTGCTTTAGCCAGGATTTATCGCAGTGACAATACAAGCACCTAATATAGCCATCTTGAGCCGGGGACCATCTGCACACATGATGTTATACGTAAACATTATATCACTGGAGTCAGGTCTCTACCACCTAGCTTTATTTAAATAAATGTCCTGCACCTGAACAGTCTGTCTTCAATCCAGCTTACTGATGCTACGAACACTTTAAATCACCTTGCAGCAGAACCCTCTGATCATTACAATGCAATAAGTGCCCCCAACACAAAATCAACAAGCAAGTAAAAAATCACCCAGGTTGCTCCAGTCACCTTACTTGTTAATGTTGCTGCCTTCTTTCAGTCGCTCGCCCGCAGCTCCCGTTTTCGACACTCTCTCACTCCCCGCCAGGTCTACCAAGCTGACCTTACTGACTTTCTCCCCTGAGTTCTAATGGCAGGAAAGGAGAGAAACAACACATGAGATAGCTCCGCATGACATCGACATATTTATGAGCATAACGATTCAGAGCCACTGAGAAGCCAACCCACTCCCCTACCACAAAGTCCTTGAGACATGAAATGGTTCACAGCTAGCAAGCAAAGTATTTCATAGCAAAAATAAAGTCTTTTAAAAATATGTGTATATGTATGACACATGTGTACGCATCTGTATACGTATGTGTGTGTGTCAGAGCGCAATATCAGTGATGGTCCTCGCCTGCTACCTTGTTGAGGCGGGGTCTCTCTTGTCATTTTCCCCAGTAGACTCCAGGCGTGCTGGCCCATAAGCTTCTGGGGACTCTCCTGTCTCTGTTCCCATCTTGCTATAGGAATTCTAGGATAACAGACACATGCTACCGTATCTTGCTTTACATGGGTTTTGAGATCCAAACTCAGGTCCTTGTGATTGTGTGGCAAAGGATTTATCCACTGAGCCATCTCCCTGGCCCATAACTCAAAATTTAAAATGGTGAAAAAAATGTAAAACTGTGTTCTGCACAATTGCTGGTAGCACATATACCAGTTGTCAAGGACAGGTGGAAAGCTGGAGATTTTATGCATCTTTGAGGAAACAGGAGCACAGGAGGGTCCTGTGCATTTGGGTCAAATCCAACTTCTTTGAGATGTGATCATAAGATTGAATGTTGCAGTTTCCTTTATCTTTTAAGATTTACTTGTTATTTTAAACTAAGTGCATGTTGTGCTGGTACCTAAGGAGGTCAGAGGTGTTGGATCCCCTGGAGTTGGAGTTAAGGGTGGCTGTGAGCTGTGCAGTGTGGGTGCTGGGAACTGAACCTGGGTCCTCTGCAAGAGCAGCATGTGCTTAACTGCTGAGCCATCTCTCCAGCCCCCTGCAGTTTCCTTTTTAAAATTTTACAGTAGTCATGAAGGAAACTTAGTTGTTTTTAATGCAATTTTGGTAAGAAATGACACATATTAAATGGTGTATAGGGATGTCATCCTGCTAGTTAAGGGTGTTTATTCGCAAAATACCTTTTTTGGAGACAGGGTCTCATATAGGCCAGGTGTATTTTGAACTTGATATGTGGTTGAGGATGGTCCTGAACTTCTGATCCCCTTGCCTCTAGATTTTACGCAGGGCTGAGGAATCAAACCCAGAGCTTCATGCATGCTGGACAAGCACTAACCCAGCTGAGCTATACCCCAGTCCTGCAAAATCCAATTAAAAAAATGCCAGTATACTAAGGCTGGAGAGATGGCTCAGCTGGTTAAGAGCACTGTCTGCTCTTGCAGAGGTCCTGGGTTCAACTCTTAGCACCCACATGGTAGCTAACAACCATCTGTACCTCCAGTTCCAGGGGATCTGATGCCCTCTTCTGTCCTCTGTGGACACTGCATGAAATGGGAGCACTTACATACATACAGGCAATACACTCACGCATAAAATAGAAAATTTTAAATGCTAGGATAAAAAAAAAGGCTTAACCAATTAGGCAATCTAAGTAGTTCACATAGCAAGTAGGAGACACACAGTTCTCAGCCCTGGAATCCAATCAAGAAACCCCTCCCTTATTCATGCTTTGGTCCTCCTGCCGCCTGGAAGGCTCTGCACAGCCCCTCACCCCAGACTGCAGGTCATACAGTGTCTGTGTGATGACAATGTTGAACACAGCGTGGGAGCGGCTGCTTTCTTCATTCATGTTGGTCGCAGCTACTGTCCGAGACTTATTTCCCTCAGACATCAGCGACTCAATATCCTGGGGGCACAAATGGAGAAAACACTATGAGCGAGAGGCGCGCCGTCCAGCACCCCAGCTCTGTGGGGGTTGGTTATGCTTCTCTCACACCTTGACCACACCCTTTCATGGAATCCGCCGGCCTCTTCCCCAAGGAGCAAGGAGCACGGAGCAGGGAGCACAGAGCAAGGCTTGAGCGGAATCAGCTGTCTCTCCCATTTGATCCTTTGTACGCTCCCAGGAGAGCTGCTGTTTATTGAACACTCGCTACACTCAAGAATGTAGCTGCCCCCTTTAATTCTAACGCTCCTGTGTCTGTCATCCTGGGCCTGCCCCTACTCTCTGCCTCCCTCTGCCCACACTGTGGCTCTCTAAGGACAGGGAACTTTCCTTATCTCTGTATCTTCATTCCTAGTGCATACCTGGAAATTGTGAACTCTTCATTTTTTTATGTGTATGAGTGTACTGACTGCATGTATGTAAGTGCACCCGTGTTGTGCAGTGCCAGAGGAGGACAGAAGAAGGTGTTGAATCCCCTGGAACTGGAGTTATGAACGGTTGTTAGCTGCCATGTGGGTGCTGGGAACTAAACCTGAGTCCTCTGCAAGAGCAGCCAGTGCTCTTAACGGCTGAGTCATCTCTCCAGCTCCCACCCTGTGAACTCTTTTAAAATGTTTGCTGAATGAATGTTATGAAAGAAATTCTGTTTTACACACAAAAATACTGAAGTTCACGGAGGTCAAATAACTTTCCCAATATCTAGTAAGAAGCAGCACTCAAATGCAAATCGAGAGCCTCCTGGCTGTCATAATAAATGACAGGTGGACACAGAGACTGACCTCTTGTCACCCTGAGCTAGGGAACAGGCTTAGACAAATGCTGACTGAACACATTTGGATCAGAAAGGCTTCTGTTCACTTCAGAATCTCAATGCTTTATTTTTTTAATTGTTTTTATTTTATATGTATGAGTGTATTGCTACTAGTTTTCTTTTATGACATGAAAAAAAAAATGACTCTTACCTCAAAACTGGTGACAGCCAGTTGAGACAAGCCATCTACATACGGTCCTAGTACCTTATGTTCTCGAACTTTAAGAGACTGTCTACTCCTACAGGAGGAAGAAGAGAGCAGAGTGAATGACCCTTAAACTGGAAGCTTCTCTCTCTTCTCACTCAGAAACTCAGATACAATTTTAAAAGGATTTTTTTAAAGTGATTAAACAAGTACCTTAAAATGGCCCCTGTTCTTGGATTAGTAAAACAGCATTCCATAGGAAAAATGCCTTAGACTCTGATTTCTATTTAAAGCAATGTTACTATTTTAAATTCTAGCTCTAGCCCCAACCTTAAACAGAGAGCACACAGACCTTAGCTAGACTAACTTGTTTTAGTAGATGACTAAATGAAGCCACTCTTGGTAAATAATGTCTTAAAAAATATGAACAAACACTGAACAATAATAAAAAGTGTTTATTTTTTTCTCCATGAATCTCACTATGTAGCCTTGGCTGGCCTAGAACTTGCTATATGTAGGCCAGGCTGGTCTTGAATTCAGAGAGATCCACCTGCCTCTATTCCTCGAGTGCAAGGCTTAGAGATAATGTGCCACTATGCTTGGCCAGGCAAAATATAGTAGCTTTAGTTTTAATCTCAGTGGACTGATAAATTCTTCAAATGGCTCCCAAATCAGAGTTACCTGAATTCAAGAGTCCTAAAGGGCCACTTACTGGGTAGAGATCCTTGCTGCCAGGCCTAATGACCTGAGCTTGATCCCAGGACCCACATGGTGGAAGGAGAAAACCCATTCCCAAAGGTTGTCCTCTGACTTATACACCACACATTAAATAAATACGTAAATAAATAAAATGCAATTTAAAGTTTTTTTTAAGAGTCCTAAAATTGTTATCAGCAGAGCATTTCAAGTGTAGGCTAAATATCAGTTGCTACAATTACTGTACTATTATATCACTTTCTGTATAAAATTGTCAAAACAGAACTAATGTAAATCAGTGAAACTTGAAGAAGCAAACGTTAAAAACATTTTATTAGCCGGGCGTGGTGGCGCATGCCTTTAATCCCAGCACTTGGGAGGCAGAGGCAGGTGGATCTCTGTGAGTTCAAGGCCAGCCTGGTCTACATAGTGAATTCCAGGACAGCTGGGGCTACAGGGAGACCCTGTCTCAAAAAAAAAAAAAATTATTATTTCTGGCCAGCATGGTATGGGGGCAGAAGAACTAAGACTAACTTGGCTCCCCTGAAAGTCTTGGCACTGTTTCCTAAGCAGTTTTCAGGCAGACCGTTTAATCTCACACAGTAGGTTTTACTACATTTAATGACGAAATTCAACATGACCATAGCAATTCTGCTGACTACCTGTAAACAGGGAGAGACCACAGAGCCCATCATCAAGACAGCTGCTAGACTGCACAGAACCCGGCACTCGGCCCACATTGCTCAGTAGCAAAAAGTAAACCGAGCGCAGCATTGAGTGCCCCTCACGCTGTTTGACCTCTAGAGCGCCTGTGCATTGCTGGTTCACTATTCAATAATGCTGGAGCCTCAGTATCCCTAAAAACTCCTGTACCTGTGCACCAGGAAGCCTGCACAACGATGCTCAGACCAGCACTGCACCAATGTAATATTGAACACAGAAAAAGTTACTTCTGTACAAAATGTACAATTTTGTAAAAAAAATTCTACATTGTTACTTCATATACAAGAATGAATCCAACACATATACCCAGGTACTGCTTACAGAAAGTTAAAATTTTGCCAAGTGATGTATAAATGTTATACAAGAAAGAAAATAATAAATACAAAATTCCTAACCACAGTTCCCTTGGGGCTCAGGAGGGGATGAGTTGAGAGGGAGACATAGAAAGTTTAAAAAATATTAGTCAAGTTCTGTTTACTAAGCCAAGCAGTGAGTAGGCAGTGGTTGATTTAATTAGTCTTTATATAAGTGTTGCGTTATTTGGTCTAAGTAGTTAATGATTCACACAAACATTTCCTATGATGGAATGACTTCCTTGATGGCTATAGTTTTAGTATCACATTTTAAAAATTAATTAATTAATTAATATGCGTATGAGTGTTTTGTCTTGTCAAGTCCACTCGTGCATGCAACAACCCAGAGGCCAGAGGGTGTCAGATCCCCTGCAACTGGAATTATAGGCAGTTGTTACTCTCAAGAACTCAGTCCTTTGCAAGAGCAGTAACTACTGAGCAATCTCCCCAGCCCCTTAGAATTGCACTCTTGATTTCACATGAGACCTAGGGACTGGTGTGATGGCTAATCCTGGGTGTCAACCTGACTGGATCTGGGATTAACTGAAATGAAAGAGATCTTCTTGATTGGATCATCTGAAGCCGGAAGACACACCCTAAATGTGGGTGTCACTTTCTGATAGCAGTCCACATAAAAGGCCATGGCAGAGGAGAACGCCAGGCTTTTTGCTGCTTGCCTTCTCTCTCGCCGGTGAGTTCGTCTTGCTGCTGCAGATTGAAGACTAGCTGATCTTTTGGAATTCGTCAGACCTTCAGTGCCAGGTTGGGACTACTGAGACATCTAGCCTCGTGGACTGAGCAACTAAGGATTCTCAGCCTCTCCAGTGTGGTGCAGCCATTGTTGAACTACTTGGACTCTATCCTGTGAGCTAAGCTGATAATTCTCTATACATATATATTCATTCTACTGGTTCTGTTTCTTTGGAGAACCCTGACTAATACAACTGGTAAGCAGGCAGAAATGCTAACATGTTACACAGTCGCTAAAACAATGGGAAAACAATTTGCAAAGGTGTGAGAAAATGTTCATTATGTTACAGGGTCAATTCAGGATACTGAACTGTTAATTATAGAATACAGTTATAAACTAACTTCAAAATGGGAGCCTGTCCTCACATGGCACTGATCTGAAACAGAGGAGGGATGTGTACCCAAATGTTATCAGTGGATACTTCTGAGTGGTAAAATTACAAGTCAATTTTATCTGCTTTCTAAACTTTTTCAAATATTTATATTTTTTAGTTTGTTTTTATATTTTTAAATATTTATATATGCATATGATGTATTTGGATCAAATTCACTCCCTATCCCTTCCCCTTTACTTCCTCCCCTGTGCCCCTACCATGTTCCTCTCCCAATTTCATGTTTTCTCTCTCCCTTTCTCTGTCTCTGTCTCTCTGTCTCTCTGTCTGTCTCTGTCTCTTTCTCTCTCTTTACTGAGTCCTGTATGTGGTTGGTGTGGGACCATCTACTGGAGCATCGGTAGGCCCTCAGGGCCTGCATCCCAGAGGCAAAGTGACTCTCCCTCTCCCATCAGCCATCAACTGCCAACAAGCCTTAGCTGGGGCTGGGACTTTGGAGCCCTGTCCATGCTGGGACTCCAGCTGACTTGATCTTGTGAAAGTCTTGTGCACAACCTAATATGAACTGTTTTTCAATCAGTAAAAAATTTGACTAGGGGGAAAAAACAAAACAAAACAAAACAAAACCGGCCCTTCTTACTTTATGAATCAAAGTCACCTGGTTTTCACCATCTAGTTTGTTTTTTTTTTTTGTATAATATCTTTATTATTTCTTTGAGAGTTTCATACAATGTATTTTGGTCATGCTTATGCCCACTTCCTCCCAGATCCACCTCTAGAGTTACTCCCAGCTTTGTGTCCTTCTGTTTTTTAAAAAAATCCTAACTAGTTTATTGGGCTTGTTAACAGAACATAGGGTAGGGGTTTATTTATTTACAGAAGATTGCCCCCCGCCCCTGCACCATTTACAGCTGCGCTGGAAAGTCCACACTCAAATATAAATTCTGTGACTTCCCAACAGCCGCACAAAATGAGGAGACAGGTGCCTTATGGCATTCTCAGCTTGTATATCCTTAGCCCCTCCCCCACATGCAGCTATGGTCAACTGGTCAACTTACTGGGTGGGAAGGGTAACTGATGCCTTGATGAGTGCGAGAAGGAGGTGTGACTATAGCTTGCAGCATAGTGGTCAAAGGATATGTCCAGTTAACACTCCACCCCTTCCTCAGGCTCTTAAATTCTTTCCACCAACCTCTTCTGCAAAAGTCCCTGAACCTTGGAGGGGGTGATAGGTGTGGGATGATGTTCCTCTCATTGTGGCGAAGCACTGAACTTTCAGGGCCTGCATCATCTAGTTTTTTAAAAAAAATAGATGCCTGAGGTTTACCTGGGTGCCTTGAATCATTCAGAATAAGCGGGACTCAGGCCAGAGGATCCTTGGAAAGTTCCCTGCATGTACCCAACACATGGCCAGGGAAGGAGAGGTGGATGTAATCTTTCTACCACTTTACCCCCAATTCAGAGGCATGTTTTCCAACATAAATGGAAGGACCAACATGTCATTAGGAACAAATTTTTGTCACTCTTTGGAGACAGGGTCTCAATATATAAATGAGGCTGGTCTAGAACTCACTATGTAGTGCAGGAGAGCCTCCATCCAGCACTGATCCTCTTGCTTCAGCCTCCTGAGTGCTGGGATTATAGGTGTGTACCACTTTCATGACTAGTCCAGGTAGACAAAAGACAGTGCCAATAGTAAGAACATCTTTTCACATGGTGTATGTCAGCATTTAGCATAAACTGTCTACATACTGACATACTGATAAGCTTTGGGAAACTCCTTATTTCTCAGTATATAACGTGACCTCAGAGTAGTGACCAGTGGCCCAAATACACACATTCCCTGGCAACTGTAACTTTAGGATCACTGACAATCATTCCTCTATTTTCAAGTTTTATTTCAATCACTCACTTACCCTTTGGGGTCTAAGAGGTCCCGAACCTTCTCATTATAAATTTCCATGTAGGATACTTCAACCTTAAAGGTCTGTGACTCATTTTGCTCCACAGAGATCCTTTTAAACAAAGCACAGCAGAGCCTTGGGATAAGGCCTAGCTGTTCGGCGTGGCCCATCATGGAGAAAGACTTTCCGGAACCTGGAGAAGAATGGGCAGAGAGAAGGGGGGGCCCAAGAGGAAGCAGTGTGGATGGCTTCCATAACACAAGGGGCTTTTGCTTATCAGCCAAGGTCACACAGAAAAACAGGGGTAAACTTGGTTCTTAAACCCAGGCCCCTGAATGTCAGTTTCTGTTCGTTCCTTCCTTCACACTCTCTGGTCTGCCGTTTACTGCAAGACTGAGACCATCCATTATGTACAAATGGGCGTGTGCAGATGCAATCACTACACGTGCACCCTTTATACATGTCTAGTAAAATTCCACCTGTACATTAAAAATCACATGCTATAAGTATACCATGTTCAATACAGTTCTACCTGTCCATGGACAGTGGCGCATGCGTGCGTGCATGCGTGCGTGCGTGTGTGCGTGTGTGTGTGTGTGTGTGTGTGTGTGTAGGCTAGAGGAGGTCAACTTCTGTGCCATCCCTTTTCTGCCATTCACTTTGCACAGGTCTGGCCTGGAGTTCACCAGGTAGGCAAAGCTGGATGGTTAGTGAGCCTGGGGATCTGCCTGCTTCTGCCTCGGCAGTGCTAGGATTACAAGTTCATGCCACCATGCCCAGCTTTGTTACATGGGTGATGACACAGAGATCCTCGGCCTACAAGGAAGACTTTTACCGAATAAGCTATTTCCCCAGTTCTGGACAGAGTTTCACTGCTATATACATTGTGTGTGTAGTAAAATCCCAACTGTACATTAAGTAATATAGTCACTATTATTTTTAAAGATCTATTTATTTCATTTTATGTGTATGTGTATGTGCCTGAGTGTACTGGTACGCACCATGTGCATTCAGGTACCCAGAGAGGCCAGAAGAAGGTATCAGAACCCCTGGAACTAGAGTTACAGATGGTTGTGAGCTACCTTGTGGGTGCTGAGAACTAAACCCCAATCCTCTGCAAAAATATCACATACTCTTAACCACTGAGCCATCTCCAGCTTGTCACAGACAGTATTTTATGGCTTTATATTTCACATACTATACTACACACATACTGGATTCCTCTAGTTATGGTGTGATACAATGAGGCATCACTATTATGAACTGTTATTTATCCACTTAATATTTGAAAGAGTCATGGCTCCAAGTGAAAGGCTGAACCTTACCTTTTATATGTTTCGACCCACTGCTCCACCCATCTTGGCTTAATAATCCATTATCATTTGTACCCTACTGAACATCCTCAGTAGTGGGAATTCTAAGAGCTTTTGTGTTGTTTTTACTAAAACATTTATGCTGAGCACCTGGAAATTACTTTTCCAGTTCAAATACAGGTTAAAACTATAATTTAGAAAAATGATATTTAATCGTTTGAAACTAGTTATGCTCATTAAGGCTGAAATTACTGAATTACCAGAACTGGTACACCTTCAAAAGTAGGAAACCTTTGATTGCATAATTCAGTTAAACTCAAAAAGTCAGAAGATTTTTTTCCGTGTTTTTCAAGGTCTTAAGTGTTAGGAAATCATATTTAGGGTAGGGATATAGCTCAGTGTCACAGTCTATGCTGAGAACACATGAGGTCCTGGGTCTAATCCCCAGCACCAAAAACAACAATAAAAGATAAAGAAACATATATTTAATATTTCTATGTAAGTGCTAAGGATGGAACCCAGGGTATTACATGTGCTAGGCAAGCACTCATCCATTGAACTACACCCTGAGATACATGTTTAATATCATTGACTGTAATAAAAGCAACATCTTACCTGTCTGACCATATGCAAAAATACAAGCATTGTATCCCTGAAAGGCTTTTTCAAGAATTCCTTCCCCAAGGCACTTGAAAACTACTTCTTGACCTAGAAAACAAGACAAACATTTAAAACTAAAATAAAGGATGATGTGGGTTGGTGTATATGTATCAATAACAAGATTCTATCAGTCCCCATCCCACATTTGAAAAGAATAGTGAGTGCTTACTATATAGAGGGTTATGTATAAAAGCATAATATATGCAGTTTCACACAGATGGGTCTTGCCATGCTGCCCAGGCTGGCCTCAAACTTGTGAGTCCCAGTGATCTTCCTATCCCAAACTGCCCAGTGGTGGGACTATAGGCATGGGCTGCCATGCCGGCTTGCAATTTGATTTTTGCTCTTAAACAATAGCTGAGTATCTGGGTAAATGTATGAGTCTATACTGCTTCCTCCTTGACATTTCTCTGGGGATTAAAGTTTCTTTTCCACAATCAGTGGGACATATAAAGGCATCATCAAATTTGGTTTTGCTTTCTTCTTAAGACTTAAACCAAAACATCATTAAGCATTACTTGTCTTTCTATCTGAGTTCAGTTTCTAATGAGCAAGAACCATGTCATACATTTCCTTAGGTCCCCTTTGTCACCAAGCAAGGTGCTGTGTACAGGGAACTACTGAACAACTGCTCACTGCTGGTGGTGACAACTGAAAACTGCCCATGACCTTATACTGACTGTCAACTTAATTGGATCTAGAATCACTAGCTCAACAAGCCTCTGGGCATGTCTGTGAAGGATTAATTTAGATTAAGTTAACTGAGGTAGGAAAACCTTAAAAGTGAATAGTACCATTCCATGGGCTGGGGTCCTGCACTGAAGAAAAGGGAGAAACCGAGCTGGACACCAGCATTCATCGCTGTCTGCTTCCTGACTGTGGATACAGTGGAGAGCTGCCTCGCCCTCCTGCCTCCTTACTTTCTCCTCCATGATGGACTTCGTCTCAAACTGTGAGCCAAAATAAACCATTCCTTCCTCAAGATGCTTGCTCAGGGTACTTTATCACAACATCAGGAAATGTAAGGACTACTTGGTGTTACTAGATACACAGGACCACCTCATCTGTGTTCCCACAAGAACAAAGACAAGTTCTCTTTCACAAATCTTTGCCATCTCACAGTTTTTGAGGTCTTGTCATGTACTACCCTACACGTACTACATGGTGGAGTGGGGGAAAGGGCTGAGCTGTGATGTGCTTATTAAACACATAAGGTGGCACATCCTCTGAAACTGGAGGCTTCTTCACACCTGTTCCCCCAACAACTAAGAGAATTAAATTCTACCCCGGTCCTCTGTGTTCCTATGGCTCCTAGAATATTCACTACTACAGCGTCTGCAGGCACTACTGGCTTAGGAACCTGACTCCACTACTGGAATGAGAGTACCCTGATGTTAGAAATGACAGGCCCTGAGATTTGTAATCCTAGTGTCTAGTAAAAAATGTGTAATAAGTCCGGGCATGGTGACACACGCCTTTAATGCTCGGGAGGCAGAGGCAGGCGGATCTTTGTGAGTTCGAGGCCAGCCTGGTCTACATAGTGAGTTCTAGGACAGCTGGAGCTACAGGGAGACCCTGTCTCAAAAACACCAAAAAAAGACTGAAAAAATTTAATTGTTTTTTATTTTATATGTATGAATGTTAATTTGTTGAAAGAATGAACCAGTTTAAACATTTCATCCCTCATGATACTTGGTTTATTATTATTTTTATGTGTATGAGTGTTTTGTCTGCATATATGTAAGTGCACCCAAGTCCTGCAAGGCCCAGGGAAGCCAGAAGACGGCATCAGATCCTCTGGAACTGGAGTTACTAACAGCTGTGAGCTGCCATGTGGCTGCTGGGAACTGAACCTAGGTCCTCTGCAAGAGCAGCCAGTGCTCTTAACCACTGAGCCATCTCTCCAGCCTTCAACAATAGTTGAAAAGTCCTTTTATATTAGAAAATAGCACAAAAAACTCATAAGCTTTTGGTTGTGTGTTTCTCTTTTATGCAAAGTGAGATCATATTTTAGTACCCTGTTGCTGCATATCAAGATTTCAGCACAGACTCTTCAAAGACTGTCAATAAGAAACAAGAGCTAGCACTTCAACTGATAGGCTGCCAAAAAATAAAATGTTGGACACATCAAATACTGCTGAACTGTAGACACTTTTTTTTTCTTCTGGAGCCGAGGACTGAACCCAGGGCCTTGCGCTTGCTAGACAAGCACTCTACCACTGAGCTAAATCCCCAACCCCTAGACCAATATTTTGATAAACTACTGCAGAGCCAATCTCTAGAACTGGCCATTCTGAAAGAAAACCTGGAAGCCCCTAAGGAAAGGATATGCCACAGTCTGACCTGTCAAATGCTTGCTGTCTAAGAGACGCACTCCCACATGGCCCTGCCCAAGAGTGTTCAGGCAGCATGATTTATTATGTTAAAAATTAGAATCAAGTTAAATTCTCATTATTAGTATGGAAATAGATACAGTAACTAGATCAGGATACAATACTATACAACTTTTTATTTTTGTAAATTTTTATTTATTATTTTTAGTATACGAGTGTATTGCCTGCATGTAGGTATGTGCACCTGTGTTGTGCAATGCCCGCGGAGGACAGAAGAGGCTGTCTTCTGTCTGATCCCCTGGAACTGGAGTTATGGACAGTTGTTAGCTGCCATGCGGGTGCTGGGATTCGAACCCAGGTCTTCTGCAAGAACAACCAGTGTTCCTAACTACTGAGCCATCTCTCCAGCCCCAACACTATACAACTTTTTTTTGTCTTTTTGAAGCAGGGTTTCCCTGTAGCCCCAACTGTCCTGGAACTCACTGTGTAGACCAGGCTAGCCTTGAACTCACAGAGATCCACCTGCTTCTGCCTCCTGAGTGCTGGGATTAAAGGCGTGCACCACCACACCCAGCCATATACATCTTTTAAAAATAAGAAATAAGGGGGCTGGAGAGATGGCTCAGCGGTTAAGAACACTAATTGTTCTTGCAGAAGACCCAGGTTCTAATCCCAGCACCCACATGGCGGCTAACAACTGTCCGTAACTCCAGTTCCAGAGGATCTGACAGCCTCTTCTGTCCTCCGTGGGCATTGCACAACATGGATGCACTTACCTACATGCAGGCATAACACACATAAAATAAGAAAATATAAAAAAATTAGAAATAAAACACTTCTATGGACAAAACAATGGTAAAATTAACAAACTAAAAACATTAAGTGGAAAAAAGTCATTAACATATATGTAAAATATATGTATTATGATGTAGATGAGAGAGAGAGAGATCTGTGGATGTCAAAAATCTACAAAATGAATTGGGGAAAAATTTTCCAAATTTACAGTGTCTTATTTCTCCATTTCTAATTTCTACCATCTTCACACAGCCTGGTATCTAAGAGTTATTCAAAAAATTTTGGTAGAATACAGTTTTTTTAAATGAGCATAGTTGTAACAGATTTGTCTAAACATGGTGTGTTATGGAGACTATCCAAAGATGTAGGCATACACATGCACTGCAAAGTAAGGCAATGTCAATATCATTCTCTATCATACACAATATCATTCTTTATCATGCATGTAATCTAAAAGTTGCTTTTATGCCATAGTCTAATACAAGACTCCTGGGTTCCCTGAGAAAACATGAGATCATCCCAATGGATAACTGTTCATACATATCAATACACATCAGTATTTTCTCTTACGTTTTCTTAAAGGACCTTCCTTAGTCCACATACACTCCATGCTTCATGCCAAAAGGCAGAGTTTAAGTCTGGAGCTGAGCTCTGCCCTGAGAAGATGCACAGCAAACTCAGCTGTGCTTGGGCTTGTTAGAATTGCCTGTGGTCCTCAGCCAGACTCAAGCACCTCGCAGAAGCTTTCTCCAAGCAAAGTTCTCTTGGCGCAAGCTGCTGAGCACAGCAATCTGTTTGCTCTTCCATACTGTGTCTCCTCAGGAAGGAGTGCGATAAAGGTGGGACATGAGACTAAGAAGAACCAGGTAATTCAAGATTTCCATTCTTGTAATTTGGGAAAAAACTGAGAGTGCTGTGATGGTTCATCATTTTCATCTTGACTGGATTTAGAATCACCATGGAAACACACCTCGGGGAGCATCTATGAGGGAATTTCCAGAAAGGTTTAACTGAGGAGGAAAGACCCACCTTGAATGTGGGAGGCATCATCCCATAGGACAGCATAAAAAGGAGAAAGCAAGCTGAGCACAAGCGTTCATCTCTCTCTGCTTTCCGACTCTGCATACGCTGTGGCCAGCCACCTACCACCTCCTGCCACCATGCCTTTTCCATGATGATGGGATGTATTCCCTCAAACTGAGCCCACATAAACCCCTTTTCTCTCATGCGGCTTTGTGTCAGGTATGCGGGCTCAGTAACTAGCAAAGTAACTAATGTAAGTGCTACGGCTTGATGTGTCCATCAAAATTTGCAGATGGGAAATTGATGCCCCAAAGCAATAGTGTTGAAAGCTAAGACCTTGAAGAGGAGACCACGTAGGTCATGAGGGCCCTGCCTTCATGAATGGCTAAAGTGATTGCGGGAGTGGGTTTGCTAGAAAGCCAAGTATGGTCCCTCTTGCTCTCTCACCACCTGGCATCTTCTGCCATGTCAGGAGGCAACAAGAAGAATCTCTGCAGATACAGTCAGTCCTTCCACCTTGAACTTCTCAGCCTTCAGAATTAAGTGGTAATAAATTTGCTGTTTATAAATTGCCCAGACTTAGGAATTCTCTCACAGTTGCACAAAGCAGACTGAGACAAAGAGGTCTGAACTGAAGAAGACTCAGAGAGGGGCCAGAGAGATGGCTCAGAAGTTAAGAGCCCTGGCTATTCTTGAAGAGGATCCAGGTTCAGTTCCCAGCACCCACTTGGCAGCTAATAATCACCTGTAACTCCAGTTCCAGGGGATCCGATGCCCTCTTCTGACCTCCATGGGCATTGTACTCATAGGTGCTCTTATATACATGCAGGGAAAACACTCATTTACATAAAAAATAAAGCTTAAAAAGAGAAGATTTAGAGAAGAACCCTGAAGTCA